ATTAATTTTTATTGACAAATTATACTGTAAATCATGAATAAACATTCATTTTAAATATGTTGAAAGTACATTATTTTTGTACTAAAGGTTCATTATTTGGTATACTACTAAATAATGAACTTTTATCAGTACACAATAATGTACCTTAAAAAATAAACATTTAATGTATTAAAAATGTACCTTTAATATATTAAAAATGTATATTATGTCACTGGTTCCACCTTACAAGATATAATGATTGGTCTTTATTCACACCTATTTTAGTCAAAAAAATTTAGAACTTAATAGTCTTTAACTAAAATAAAAAAAATAAAAAAAAAATAAAAAAAAATAAAAAAAAAAGTCTTTAACTTATATTTTTAGAGTTTATTAACATTATCATTTAACATCTAATTGTGATAGTGCGCCAATGGTGATAACGATAATTGTAATAGAGGTGATTCGATGAGTGTTTAAAAAAAAATAGAAGTGATTCGAAGATAAAATCCTTTTAAGCTTTATAAAGAGAGAATCAACGTAATAATGATTATTTTGTTATGGTAGCACAATAGCACATGACATTCCATATTCCATGTGTTCAGGAATATGAAATTATGAGAACAACCACAATCAAGTTGGTTTAATAGTTGACTTGGTAATCAAAATGTTTCAAGTTTAACTCATTTTTTGAGCTCTCTTTTGGCCTTCTTGATTTGAACCGATAAACTATGGACAACCTAGGCTGATTTAACCTCCTTGTGCTAGTCACAAGACGGACTTCACCCAATGCGCACTAGACTTTTACATAAACCAAAGGAATATGAAACTATAAAAACTATATCTTTATGATGCTACAATATGATATTTATGTATTTAATTGTATAGTACTGTGAACTTTGTTGTTATGGTGTAACATGACATTTCTTTTTTTTTTTTAAAGGAGTCATTTCAATTCAATTTCTTCTGAACAATGATATAATTAATTTTACTTTTAGTCGCATAATTATATGTTTTTAATTTTTAATCCTCGAATAAAAGTTAACCATATTTAGTTTTTAGATATTTTTAAACGTCACTAAATCCAACCACAAAAAAAAAAAAAAAAAAAAAAAAAAAAAAAAAAAAAGGGACCAAATTTAATTTGGTCAAGTTTTAAAAAAATATATATATATATCTAAAGATTAAATGTAGTACAATTAATACTTTAAGACTAAATCTAGAAATGCATTATATTCATAAGGCCATTAATAAAAGTAGTTCTTCACCAATAAGATACTTTGTACTACGTTGTTATGCTATTAGATAGGGACTATGCTATTGCTAACTTGTGTTGAATGGGGTCATTTGCCCCCACTCAACTTGTTTTACAACGTAGATATATATTTTTAAAAAGAGTTAATTCCAACAATGGTCTCTTGATTATTGTCATTTATTAATTTTTATCTTTTGATTTTTAATTAGACCATAAATGATTTCTTGACTATTGATCTTTAAATTTTCGTCCTCTACTTTTAATTTAACCATAAGTGATCTCTTGACTATTGATTTTTTTTGAAATTTGGTCCTCTAGTTAAATATCATTTTAATAAACATTAAATTTAAAGGTAATAATGTAAAATCTTTAGTTCTTCACAATGATGAACTCAATGTATTAAATTTATGAACTCAATTTGTCTATCTCAACAACAAGTTAGTTTTTACATTATTATTCTTAAATTTAGTGTTTATTAAATAGATATTTAACTGAATGACCAAATTTGGAACGAAATCAATAGTCAATAGACCATTTATGGTCATATTGAAATTTGAGAATAAAATTTGGTAAAGATCAATAGTCAAGGGACCATTTATAGTCCAATTAAAAGTCAACAGATAAATATTGATAAATACCAATAGACAATAGTCAATGAACTATTCCTGGAATTAACTCTTTTAAAAATTATAAAATTGATCTTCGCTAAAATTAATATTATAAGAGTCAATATATAAATAAAATTTGTAATTCTTTATATGAAATTATATATATATATATATATATATATATATATATATATATATATATATATATATATATATATATATATATATATATAAATCTAGAATAGAAACAAATCTTATTTTGACATAATTTTCTTGTCCTCTTTAACAATTATAATTTAAAATCATATGATAAAAATTTAGATTTAAAACATTATGAATCAAGTTTTTCCTTACAAAGTCATAACTTCTTTCACAATCTTTACAAATCTATGATTATAATAAAAAGGTAGAAATTCAAGGTAAGAATGACAAATTTTGTATGTCACTACTTATTTTTAACTTTTTACTATTATGATTTGTGATTTTATCTGAGTTAGTATTAACTATTAGGTGAAGAATAAAAGAGTCAACTTCAATTTTAATAGATGTACAAATAAAATATTAGAGAAATTTAAATTCGCTTTTCAAAGGACACGGTGATATTTAATGAATGATTGTTTAGTTACATTATTTTTTTTAACTTGTAAAATTTAGTCTTAATTTTGTTAGCGATAAGTGTAAGTATTGGAAAAAAAAAAAAAAATTATCAATGAAAAATTGTATAATTGAATGGGTGATAATTCACAAAGAAACCGTCATGTTTTTCTTTCTTTCTTTTTTTTTTTTATTCTATAATTTCATGAATCGGTGATAATTTGATGAAGGTTGATTACATTCATTTTTATTTTTTTGGAAGCAAAACCATAATAATACTAAAATTGAGCAATTTGGAAAAAGTGTTAAATACATACTAGTATGGGATAGAAGAATGTCTAACTAAGTGAGAATATGTAGCCCTAGCCAAAGTGTGGACTAACACAACCACTGATTCATAAATAAAATGGTAGGACACAGATTCAAAGTGGCTAACCAATCTACACAACCATCAATGACGCAACCAGCGTAAGAGAAATCTGGAGATGGAGAATTAAGGAGTTGACATACATTGAGGCATTAATCCATTTCTAACCTATTAACCCGGTGCCAGCCTTCATCATTGAGTCATGATAATGCCTCCTTAACAACAAGAACTTCAGCCAGGTGGAGATCATTCATGGATCTCATGCAACGTAGAGGAGGTGCGTTTAATGCTCCTAGGAACGTACCAGATTCAGATAATAGGACTACTATGCTCCAAAGTAGTTGAGAAATACGGCATCATCAACCTGACACCTCATGGAGGTACGTCCCTGAAGTTAAGGGCAGCCGGTGCATGATGCGGCAATGTAGTATTCTGAACCTCTAATCTAGTCTTGCCGCCGATGTCCAGCTACTAAGGAGATCGAGATGATACTGCAGCCACCACCTCCGATACTTTCATAGGTTTTCTGATCTACTCCAAACGAAATTATATTGTTCCATAGTGCCTAGAGGACGTACTGTTGTCACTCTGCGTTTCAAGTCATCATTTGCGAATTGAAGGAGAAGATGCCATGTCATAGAGCTGGGGAAGAAAGCCACCTTCTTGAATGCTGTAGGAGATGTTTGACCAGGTAGATACAGGCTATGTTTGGCAAACCTAGCTGAAAAGGTAGCTGAAGGCTGAAAAACTATAAGTTAGGAGCTGAAAACTGAAGAGCTGTTATGCTTGAAAGTGTTTAGTAAAATTAACTTTTTGATAAGCTGATAAATGTAAAAAGACAGAAAAAGACATCTTCACAAACTTTAAATTAGTTTGTTTACATATTAAACTTTAACATTTTGTTGTCAAAAAAATTAACATTTTGAAATAAAATTATTAGCGTAATCATGATCTAGAACCACACAATGAAGTAGCAATATTGTTGTGAATGACCTTCATCTCATAATAATAATAATAATAATAATAATAATAATAATAATAATAATAATAATAATAATTATTATTATTATTATTATTATTATTATTATTATTATTATTATAATAACAATAACAATAACAATAACAATAACAATAACAATAACAATAATAATAATAATAATAATAATAATAATAATAATAATAATAATAATAATAATAATAATAATTGCGATGAAAGTTGCGGATAAAGGAGAAGAGAAAATGGTTTAATTGGGAAGGGTAAAGGATGTCATTTTTTCTTTGAAATAATAAGGGCAAAGACAAAAAATGTTAGTAAGCTACTAGCTTATTTTGAAACGCTACCTTAGATAGCGTTCCAAAATAAGCGCTTATATTAAGCTACGAGCTTATTTTGGGAACATTACCAAATAGAGTTTATAGTTTATTAGTAGCTTAAAATAAGCTATGAGCTCCTCAATAAGCTCTGCCAAACAGACTCATAGTGCCTGCATTGATCCACCATTTCTGGTGCGGAGCCACAAAGCGGACAGGTAGGATCAAGGTCGTCCATTCTTCTACCGTATATAAAGCCATCCGTACTAGAATAATAGCCCTGGCACATCGCCAAATAAAGTTCAGGAATTTATGAAGGATCTTTAAACACCATAACTGAGACCAGGAGGAGAAAGGCGAAGGTGTGGTCTGACTACTATGGCCCTGTTTGGTAAAATATATAGTTAGTCTATATGTCAATTTTGGATTATTTGATCACTATTAATTGTTTGACTTGGTTTAAAAATCAATATAAGTGTTTGGTTAATTAGCTTTTTGTACTCCAAAATGCTAAAATTCAAAAAGCTACTCAAAGCAATTTTTTCAATTAGCTTTTTGAGAAAAAGAAATTATACTAAACAGCAATCAGCTAACAACTAATTTACCAAACACTTTTCTACAATCAGCTAATGTTATCGACTAGTTATACACTCTAATTAACATAATCAGCTAACAGCTAACAACTAATTAACATCCATTTACCAAACAGGGCCATAATATGACAACAATATAATTTATAACCATTCTTAACTAAGCATAAGCCGTGCATATCTCCTTTCCAAAACCAATGAAATGCGTATTTAGGGACTATAGGAAACTTCTTAATGAGCTCGATGTCACGGTCTACAAAGATCAATAAGAGAGTCACTTGTAGCTTCGTCACAGGAAGGGAGAGAAGTCGTAGTGGCTATGAAAGGATTGGATGTGTCGGGGAGCCATGGGTCAGACCAGATTTTCGTACTTCTTCCATTACCAATTATACAATCACGTCCTTGAGCAAGTAAAGATTGAGCAGACACAATGGATCTCCAACGGAAACTAGGGTTTGAACCAAGTCGGGCATTAAGGAAAGAGGTTTTTGGGTAATATCTGGCTTTAAAACGGTGAGCAACCACAGATGTGTCATTAACTAAAAGCCTCCGGCCTTGTTTAGCCAAATGGCAGTATTAAATAAGTTTAACTTCTTGAAGCTAAGCCTCCCATCTTTCTTAGGTAGACATAGTTTGTCCCAACTAGTCTAGTGCATCCCACCCCCTCCAAAAGGCTCTGTTTCCCACTAATACTTATTCATAATCCTTTCCAATTTTTCATAGAAAGTAAGAGGGAGGTGATTTGTTGGAAAAAATAGCATAAATTAGCATAAAATGACATTTTAAATAGATATTTTGTGATACAAATATCAGTGGAGTCCATTTCTGATTTGGGTTGGGTCAAAGTGGATTCGGGTTCTTCATAGTGAGACGAAGAGATTGATATATTGTACGCTCAAAACGGATAATGGGTGAATGAGATATTAATTCTCAAAGTAGACCTATTAAGTTGGAAAAATGAAGGGTGAAAGTGAAGCTTTTGTCCCACATTAGTTTGGGAAGAGGATTTGCCTCACTATTTATACAAGAACTCTTTTTAGACTTATTGAATTGTATAGCATAGAGGCTCTTTTTTGCGCGCAAGGGGGGAGGGGGTGCAAATCAAATCCCAAATTGAGATCGAAAAAGACTTGATCCAAGCACCGGCACCTGCGGGCACGAATGTCGTCCGAAAATTGGCAGGCTATGCCAACCTTCAGAACAATTTTGTCTGGTCTACCGCAGCAGTAGACACGCCGATCTGGTCTACCGGTACATTCCGCGCTGCGGTTCACGTCTACCGGTGTACACAGCGCAGTACACACGATCCATTTCCGGAATGGTACACGCGATGCGCGGTACACGTCCATTTTCGGTACGATACGGACCTGTACCGCTGGTACACATTTCTGGAACGGTTCGTGACTGTTTAGTTCAGATGACTATTGGGAGGATTAATTCAGCTGTTACGGAATTAATTTCAAAGTAATTCCAATTTTGAATTCCAGAATTAATCCTCATATTCAATGGTCAGTTTTTAAGGTTTTGAACATGGGTTTGAATGCCTAAGTAAATGTTATTTACACCATCTTCTCCTATATAAGAAGTAGTAGTTGCAGCCGAATTATATATAAAACAAAAACAATTGTTTTCCAACTCCAAAATCTCTGCTTCTACTCCTCTCTTATCCTACTGTGTTCTAAGCTTTGCTCTAGTTCGCCAGGTTCAAAGTTTGGGTGCTCGAACGTTGAACCATAGCGCGTTTTATCCTGGGAAACCTAGGCTACAACGATCCTAGCACTTGTGGGAGGTAGCAAATAAGGTTTTAAAGAAACGAACAATTCGTTCAACTCGTGCTAACCTCTAACCGAATCATCCACCATTTCCTTCCCAATTATTTGCCTTTCCATATAATAATAATCTTTTCGTAGGATTATTATTTTGGGGGTATACCAACTAGAAACTACCCAACAATAGAGACTCATGGTGAAAGTGGGGAGTGTTTGTACAAAGTCATATGTATAATGGTAAGTCTAGACATGTGCGTCGTATACATAATACCATTAAACAACTTCTCACAATTGGTGTTGTCTTGATTGACTACGTAAAGTCAAAAGACAATATAGCGGATCCGCTAACCAAAGGGTTATGAAAAGAAGTTGTGGAGAAGTTGAGATGGGGAATGGGTCTAAAGCCCTTGGTATAAAGTTCTATAGTGGATACCCAACCTAGCTGGCACCTAGGTTCAATGGGACAACTAAATTATGGAACGGAGCGTGTCACTGTGGGGGTCTTGAATTTCCTACCACTCCTCGTTAGAAACGGTGGCTCCCTCACAAGGTTAGCATGTTGATGCTTTAATGATTCGAATGTCGGTTGACATGTGTGAGTATGCGGGATACTTGGAAAAGAATCACTTATGTAAGAGAGAAGTGAGGGTCGCTTCGAAGGAGAATTGAACAGGGCTCAATTCTTCACAAACTCTTGCAGAACCAGGAATGGTGACCCACGACCAAAACAGGCACACTCATGAGAACAACGCATGGTTGGGAGGTTCCTGTGTGAGATATGTCATCGTCTATACAAAACGGCAGTCAGTTCAAAGACATCGCGTTCTACCGTACAGCCAGTAGAGTAAATGTATCTTTACAAGGGAAGGTTCAAAGGGTATAGTGATCCCTACCTATCGTATGCAGGGATCGACCGTTGAACACAGTTGTTTCTGATTTCAAAAATACCCTGAAAAATTAATTTTTCATTCATGTGGGGGATTGTTGGAAAAAATAGCATAAATTGGCATAAAATGACATTTTAAGTAGCTATTTTGTGGTACAAATATCAGTGGGGTCCACTTCCGATTTGGTCGGGTCAAAGTGGATTCGGATTCTTCGTAGTGAGACGAAGAGATTGATATATTGTACGCTCAAAACGGATAATGGGTGAACGAGATATTGATTCTCAAAATAGACCCATTAAGTTGGAAAAATGAAGGGAAAAAGTGAAATTTGTGTCCCACATTTGTTTGGGAAGAGGATTTACCCCACTATTTATACAAGACCTCTTTTTAGACTTATTGAATTGTATAGCATAGAGGTTCTTTCTCGCGCCTGTTCCATAATTAATCCTCATATTCAATGGTTAGGCCCATCTTCTCCTATATAATGATTTTTTACAGCTCCAACTCCTCTCTTAGCCTACTGTGTTCTAAGCAGCAAAGTTCGCCGGGTTCAAATTTTGGGTGCTCAAACGTTGAACCGTAGCACGTTTTATCCTGTGAAACCTAGGCTACAACGCTCCTAGCACTTGTGGGAGGTAGCAAATAAGGTTTTAAGAAAACGAATAATACGTTGAACTTGTGCTAACATCTAACCGAATCATCCACCATTTCTTTTCCAATTATTTGTCTTTCCATATAATAATAATCTTTTCATAGGATTATTATTTTGGGGGTATACCAACTAGAAACTACCCAACAGACTCATGGTGAAAGTGGGGAGTGTTCGTGCTATACTTTTCAAGAGAATTTCCTTACCAACTCTGGATAGCAGCTTCTTATTTACCCCAACCTCCCACTCTCTGTCTCATGTAGGCCTCTATGAAAGGGAATACCTCATTTTTATTCCTACCTACACCAATCGGGAAGCCAAGGTACATACCAATATTTGGCACCGACCGAACCCCAAGAGTGGCCAATACAGCATGGAGCTGAAGATCCTAGGGGTATAAGACTCATAGAGAAATGCATTGCCGCCACCAAACTCCTCTATGCCTAGAAGCCATGTACTGGAAAAGATGTTTTTATAATAATCAGCAATCAACAAATGCAGGCCCTCGCGTTCTACCCACCGCCCGTCTGAGTCCATAAGCCTAGTGATGGGGTTCATGCACTTCCGGTTAGAGGCATGTAAGTGAAAATACTTTTTGTTCTAGTCACCTTGACTAAGCCAGTGTTGTTTTGCTCGCTGACTCCAAAAAGTATTTAATTTGTCAAGGGAAAACTAGAGTTCACTGTCCAAGTTGGCGAATTGTAGCAAAAGATGTGGGGTCACGGCTCACAAACAGAGAAGTAATATGTCGTTGGAGGTCATCAACAGTCCTACTTAAGCGTTTACCATAATCACCGCCCCATGAGCCAAGGTCCCGACTGTAGATATCAAGTCTTTCTGGCACCAACTGACCAATTGATGGAGCCCAAGAATTAGGGGGTATAAGACTCATAGAGAAATGCATTCCCGCCACCAAATTCCTCTATGCCTAGAACCCCTGTACTGGAAAAGATGTTTTTATAATAATCAGCAATCAACAAACTCAGGCCCTCGCGTTTTACTCACCGCCCGTCTGAGTCCATAAGCCTAGTGATGGGGTTCCTGCGCTTCCAGTTAGAGGCATGTAAGTGAAAAAACTTTATGTTCTGGTCACCTTGAGTAAACCAGTGTTGTTTTGCTCGCTGACTCCAAAAAAGTATTTAATTTGTCAAGGGAAAACTAGAGTTCACTGTCAAGTTAGCGAATTGTAGCAAAAGAGGTGGGGTCACGGCTCACAAACAGAGAACTAATATGGCGTTGGAGGTCATCAATAGTCCTACTTAAGTGTTTACCATAATCACCGCCCCATGAGCCAAGGTCCCGACTGTAGATATCAAGTCTTTTTTGCACCAACTGACGAAACCCAAGAATTTGCCACAACTGACTTACAACCTTCGTCTTTAAGCCAGGCATTTTCAAACATAAAACGACGTCTAAGCCTTCACACACAGGGGTCTTCTGTATCAATGAAGATGGCTGAGTGATCACTAGTAGCAGTATGCATATTGTAAACCATAGCGTGGGATGGATTGTACACCACTCAGCGTCCTCAACAACTCTATCCAAACGTTCCTCTACCTAGGCTTCAGTACCTCGTCCACGTTGCTAGCTAGGTGAATTTCCTCCATTTCATGCACAAATCAAATAGTATCCATGCAGATAGAGGGGGGAAAAGACGGCAAGAAAAGGGTAGAGAAAGAAACCCTAGGGCACCAAAGTATCGGAGAGAGAAATCATGAACTTTAGGTAGGTTGATTACATTTATTAAAAGTGATGTAATTAAAGTTGTTTATAAAGAGCCCAACAAAATAATGGAGGGGTAAATCATGGTGATCCAACTATCTAGACTAAAAATCAATCTATCAAAACAATACTCTAGAACTATCAATTTCACTTTTACTTTTCTTATAGCTTTTTGGTTTTTTTCTGAGTAGGGTTCTAAAACCTCAATTTTTTTAGATAAGGATTAATGAAAGTTCGGTTAAGTTTGCAATTGTGAATGCTAATTCGTTTTCATTTCGCTTAGTGATTGTGAGTATTTATTTATACATATTCTTCAAGTTTATAATTATTTTAGTTTCAATAAGTAGTGGCCTACTTGGTGTGTTAAATAATCATTTGTCAATTAGGACTTCCCATTTGAAGTTGATTGTTGTTTTAATTCAGTGGCACTGTTTGTTTCAATGAGGCATAGATAATCTAATTTTAATGAACTCATCTCGCCGTCGGACACAGTGACTAATCCCTAACTGAATTGTAAGTACCTCGGATAGCTGACCTGAAAATTTAAATATGCTACATACCCAAAGTCAAGAATCGAACCCTTAACCTTTAGTTAAGGATAGATGAGTCCCTTTCACTCAACCACCCCCGATATTAGATTTAAGAGATATTAGTTTATGGATGATGGTTCAAGTCGCTATAATCAAAATGAAGCGTGTCTAGCCTCTGTTCACCATCTTCATCCTAGATTAGGGACAAAGTCTTTGTCCTAAATTTGGGAAGATGATTGTCTTCATTGCCAAACAAAAGCATTTGATTAGGAGTGCAGACAAGCTGAGCCGAGCACGAAGCGAGGTAAGGTCAAGTTCAAATTTGAAATAGTTCTATAGTACACATTATAATTCTAATATACAGGGAAATTAAATAGAGGAAAGAATTATAAATTGCGGTCACAATTGTATTATAACTCAGTTCTTACCCACCAACCAAAACACTCTTGTGATAAAAGGTGGAATCGTCCACCCTAGGCGCCCCCATAACACGGCCCGACATGATTATGGAAGGATAAATCTTGGTGACTCAACTGATCAACTGAGACTAGATTTTTGCTCACCGTGCACAAGAAGCTCCTCTCATTTGAGAGGTTGCTCGCACAATAGTGCTGGTGAGATTCGATCTTTTGTTTATTGTGACAAATTTCACCTATGTAACCAGTTGAGCTGCACATGCAAACCCTCCTCACTAGAAATAAGTGGTAGCAGGTCAGGGTATGAATGCATAAAAGACAGACAGACATACTTTCTTGTTCTATTATTTCTGCAGAAATCATAAGATCACTGTTGGTTTATACTATATAAGTCCCCAAATTCTTTATGGACACAATTTTTCCAGTGAAATGCAAGTTCAAGCATCCCCTCCTATGTGAATCAGAAAGTGTAGGTGTTGCTTCAGAGATAAACCAGATAGAGCAAAATATTATACAGCAGTAGTGGCTTGGAGAAATCAAAACAGGAAAAGATTACAGCAAGCCTAACTCGTTAGAGAGCGTAAGTTGCCCGTAAATATTCCACAATCTCTGCGCTCTCAAACATCTGCACCCCGGTATTTGGATCTTCTAAGTATGGAGCCTAGGAAAATACAAAGCAGATAATTATGTTTTTTGGTCCGACATTCTGTTATCGCATGAAGAACAGAAAAAAGTCTAACATGAACGAAGTTTTAATTATTAGCTAGATCAAAGAGGTCTGGTTGTGAGCATGTATTCTGTACCAACTTTTCTTCAATAAACGAAGTTTCATTTCATTTTGTTGGCATGATTGTTTAGCCTCCACTATAAATCTGAACAGAAAATTATGGACGGGAAGCTAGGGAAACGAGGGTAAAACCTGGAAATGTCCGACTCTCTGGTACAATGACTGGCGTTTGGGGCTGCCACGAGCACAGCTGTAGAATAAATAAGATCTTTAAGAAAAAAACTTGTATGTGATATAACAGCATCAAATCAAATGCTTCCCGATATCCCACGACACAAAGGCATCTATACAAGCATATTCAATCTGCTTTTCACTCAGCAACTCATTGTCCCACATGCTGAGCGTAATTTCCTTAGGCTTAACCAATGCTAATCCAAGTATCTCCTCTGTCAAACGGGCCAGCCCTGCATAGCGTGGCCAGCTTTCGCCTCCTTTTGCCTTCATGGCCAAGTGCCTAAGATCTGCAGTATTCACTACCTCCAATCCATAATCTCTCTCGAGTTTTGCAGCATCATCGCAGACACCAACACCGACGAAGATATTACTGTCGTTTTTAAGGAAATCCCTGAGCGATTCAGGGATCTCAGGTGTGTGGATGAGCTGGAAAATCAAGCAGTTGTTTGCAATGCAGAGCTGCAGCGTTGCGATAACGTTAGTGATTCCAGTATCTCTATTGGGACGCCATTCGATGTCAAGACCGACAACAACTTCGCTTCCACTTTTGCAGTAATGCTTCTCCATTTCGTGTACCCAGACATCAACCATGCGTGGCATGTTGGTTACCACGGTCTGGATAACGTGGTCATGGAATTCTACTTCGTAGAAGCTGCAGCAGTAGCTGAGCAAGCATTTTTGCATTGTCATGTTGACATTTCAAGGTGGAACGGAAAATTAGCGGTTCAGAAGAAAAGCAGTAATGCAGTAGTACCAATTCAAATTCCCTAGTAGAGCGAGCGGGTTTCCACTTATGGAAATTTGCCCCCACTTGTACTCTCTGGGAAGAATTTCAAGTAGCTTTTCTGACCCTTCCTAATCATATGTTATCAATAAAAGAAAATATATTTTTTTTTAATGGAACTATGATTTTCCCTCCACATATATACCTGTGAAGTATGTGAGGCAGCTCTAGTTCAACAAGTACTTCACGCACAATTTTACAAAACGGAGAAGGCTGAAACAAAAGGATTACATGTCAATCATGAAGGAACATTTTATAGATGTACAATATAAATGAAAACGACTCAAAACAGATTCACATCAACTCAAATAGATATTATCTTTCATCCAAGCAAGGAAGGTCTGACCTCATATGCCCATATCTCTAGAGGCTTTGGTGGAAGTTTAGATGGAGTATAGGACGATCCCTGCAGAATCAGGAAGGTTAGCCTTTGCGAGAAAACTCGAGTAAAGAGTTTAAAGACAGAAATTATACCTTTCCCATTCTACCAATCATAGCAAAGCCTTCTGTCAAAGTCTGAAAGGCGGAAGCCAAAATTAAATATCTATTCTCCTAATATATCCAATTAGTTTGACTAAATATTATGTTGCTTACAGTTAGCAGACCGAGAGACAATAAAAGTGGGACCTGTCCATCACCTACACAAGGTATGTAACATATCATAAACAGTGCAGACTGAGATGGAAAACAAATGAGAAGATAAAAAATGACATAAAAAAACCATCCAAAGGGTGCAAGATTATTCACTTTAAATGTAATGTAATTTCTGGAAGGCACGCACGCGTATGTACATATATGAATACACAAACATGCATATACATACATATTTATATAATCTACATAAATACACCATTTAAGGCGTATTAATTCATTATAAGACAAGTCAAACAAAAATAAGCAAGCCATACCATATTTTCCAACCAGGTACTTTATTATCTCATCTGATTCATACATTGCAACTCCAGTGTTTGGATCAACCTGTAAAAGGCACGACCTTACACACTCACTTGTAAAACAATCCAAGAGGCAATGAGGATTGCCGTGATGCAAATGAAAGATATTGCAACATTCTTAAGATTCCTAAATGCACTGTTCAAGTCCATAGTTTTGACTTACCATATAAGGAAACTGTTGCTTTCCACCCATCTGAGCAACCTTAGGACGAAAGTTTGGGCCATTTCTTGGGCAAGGATAGAACAAGACATCAAGATCCAAAATTGCGACAATTTCCCTTACCTATAGTAAATTATATGTGGTTGGCAGATAAGGAATTTTCCAATGAAATACCATAAATGCAACATCAGATCTATTTATCATTTAGAAAAGAGCGACTGATAAAACAATTGTAAAAGTAAAAGCTAAAGAGGTCTACCCCCAAATACAAAACTTAGAAGACTTCCTACAGTGTCATGAAAGCAGACTGGAGTGACTTTATTCCATTAAGATCTGCTCCGAGAGCAGAACAATTACCTAGAATGGCTATTAGAATTTTTATTTTTTTTTATACAAAAGTATTTTTGTAATCAGAAATTTTTCCTTATAGAGGGATTCATGGCTTCATTTACTGCACACATATAAAGTAATTGAACACTACCTGAATCCAACATTTATGAGCATTTGACATTTCATTACAACCATATCCAACAGTAAATTCAATCTTCAATTCCATTTCTGAATTTGAAATTACAATATTAAAAAACTATGCATTCTATCATACTGAGACAAATATCTCCAGTTTCCGAATATTAAACTATGAGCAACACTCTAAGGTCATAAGAAGAAGAAGAAGAGAAATGTTTAGTGTTACCTTCCGACAAAAGGGGCAGCTGAATAAACATCCCGCAAAATCCATATTAGGCACATTAGTACAGAGCAAAAGATGGACTCAGTCACAATTTATCCAATATCATATTTAAATGGTGAAAAAAAAAAAAAAAAAAACCGGTATTAACTGAACAACTGAAGATGTCAATGATTGATAATTTAATTTTAGAAGAAAATATAAATGAAATCAAAGAAACCTTTCAAATTCATATATCTGAATTGGCTTCTCAGGCCGAGGACCCAGTTTCGAAGTCTCTTTCACCGCGAAACCTGTTTGTAAGCATCTGATGTCAGAAATATATCAATCTAAACTTGTCACAATATTCTGAACCTTACTGTGTAACACACTGCTTATCATAATCGACAAATAATTATTTGCAATGCAATTCCTTTTTCTGTGCGGTTATCTACCAAAATGAAGGAAGATTGTTTTGCTATACGCGCACGCACACACACACACACAGAATAAGGTCTAAACCCCTTTCACCTTCCCAAAAAGTGATGAAAATATATCCCAGTTAAGTGGTATGAGTAGAGATATTAATAAGCAATAACTACCAGCAATTTGAAGTGCATACTGGTCAGGTGGTATCTCTTTCTTGTCCACAAAGGAGGCTGAATATCTGCAGAAGTGCAGAAAGAATAGTTATGCAAATTTGCAGCTACTGATGAAATAAATATTACAAAATAAAAAATAAAAAATCTTGTAAACCAACAAAGAAATAGTTAAATACTTCACTTTTAGTACTAAGTTTAATCTGAGGCAGTGGATTTACCAGTGTGCTTGGACTCTTAACTCTAGGCTTTTAGCTTCCTTTAGATTGCCAAAGAATATACATTGTATCTACTTTTGATCTCATCTTCCCTTTTTACACACAAACACTCATACATATGGACAGATAAATTAAAAATAACATTAGCTAGTGAAACTCAAATTGCCTTCATTTTTTGAGTTAATTCTTTGCACCAAAATGCCCGCATCCTACTTATCTCAAGACATATCTTCCCCAATAATGCCTAAAATCCTCCACAACAAATTCAAACAGCTTCCATTTGCTACCCAGAAGCATAAAAAATACATTTCACATACAATATGTAATTCCTTGTTCAATCAGTCCGAGTTGATTTCAGTGAGCATGAATTGAAAATCCAAAAAAAAAAAAAAAAAAAAATCCTTAAAATTTCAGATTAAATTAAGAGTGAAGTGACGTGAATAAATCGAAATGATGAAGTGTATAGAATGATGATTGGTACCCAGAAACTAGAGCAGCAGTGCCGAGTCGAAACAATAGCGCGAGAGAAGCTCCCAATATGTCCAAGAACTTATCACCCCTCACGTTGAAAGGCTTGGGCTGCGGCGCCTTGAAATTGGGCGGCGCAGAAAACGAAGCCCCCGATTTGGGTCCCTCTTTCGTGCTGACGGAAGCAGAAACCGTGGGGTTTTCCGAAGATGCTCTAACGATAAAGACTCTGTTGCTCCAAGAGTTGGATACTGCTGCTTTCCGGGTCGAAAGTGGTCCCGCAACTGGGGTCGCTACAAAGTTCAGAGCTCCGTACATGGCTACCTCTCCGGGGAAGCTCCGGACGGAAACGGGTGGAAATTCCGGCGGTGTACGGTGCGTGTGTAATGTGTTGGTGTGGCCAACAATGCAACAGGTAATTCCGTTAAAATGGGTTCTATTTTATTAATACCCAAAAAAAATAATTAATTAATTAGCAAAAATCCACAACTAAATGTGTGGACTAAAAATTATTTTCCTATTACTATTAGGTCGGATGTAAAATTAAAAAATAAAATAAAATAAAACAAAATTTTTAAGACTAGAAATTACCAAAATACCCTTTTATTTATGAAAAAATACAGACAAATATATATATATATATATATATATATATATATATATATATATATATATATATATATATATATATATATATATATATATATATATATATATATATACTAGTTTTTTACGCGCATTGTGCTATTGGGATAATGCCCAATATTTTTTTTTTTAAATAAGTACTTTAAATTATATTAAGGTAAGATTATATTGAAATTGTTCATGCATACATAATTGAAGGTTGAATTTGCGTATTTAAATAGGTAATTCTTCTCCCAAAGGTTGAGTCCCCAACCCCAAGGGCCCCCACACTCTTACCCGACAAAGCATTGTGGGAAGTTGTAAATCACGGTGACTCAATGGTTCAGCAGATAGGACCAAATGCCGGTGCGAACAAGGAATCTGCCCACTTTGGACATAATTCCCGCACTGCCGCCGCCGAGGTTCAAACCTTGGTCTCTTCTCCCAAATACTGCCCACTAAACCATTGAGCTAAGCTCGTGCGGGTTAAATAGGTAATTCTAAGTTTACAAAGCAAGATAATATAGTCAAGATTGATTATAATTGTCAATAAAATAATTGTATAGGTATGGTTGAAACCAAATATGGGACATAAGGGAGAACAAATAAAAATTAGGGCATAAAATATTAAATATATACTAATATTGTTTGAGGAGATTTCGACATTAGGATTTGTGGTTAAGTTCTATTAAGACTTTAATATTAGAATTAGATTAATGGTGTAAATATAATTCTATATTAGACGTTAATATTAGAATTAGACTAACGGTGAATTAACGGTATTTAACGGAAAAGTTAAAGGGATAATCATATAATTAAGGATAAATTAGAAAAACTTTTAAAAAAATTAAAACCTGAACAATTTGAATCATTCATTTGATTTAATAATTTGGCGGTCATTTTTTCTACCCAATGTTAATAATTAAATAAATTCGTTGGTCAAATCCGCTAACTGCTGATTGTCAAACAAGGACATTGCAAGGTAGTTCTCACTTCAATTTGTTGTGTGCTTTGAATACTCTCTTTGTCACAAAATCTCTCAAGTAGTTAATATGGTTGGCTTTATTAATTATATTTTTTTAATTTTTTCATGGTATTAATAAAATACTTGGTAAATAAATATATAGCATTATTTTGTATTATAACTTTGATATTAAATTAGAAAAATAGTGCACAAAAAAGATAATAGACAATGTAGTGAATATAATCAATTGATGAATTTGAATGTAAAAATTTTTACATTTGAGAAAAATAAAGACAATATAACTAATGAAAATATTTCTCTTAATTAATTTATTGATAATGAATAATTTTTTTTTTACTGAATTAAGACATTGTAAGGACAATGTAGCGAATATAATCAATTAATAAATTTGAATATAAAGAATTTTTATATTGCAGAAAAATAAAGACAATATAACTAATACAATTATTTCTCTTATTTAATTTATTGATAATGAATAATTTTTTTTTTGAATAAAGGCATTATGGACACATAATTCTAAATTAAAGAAATGCATATCTATAATTTTTGGTTGTAGCTACTAAATTATTATTTATATAATTTAATAAGAGTAAAATAGAGTATTAATTATGACAATTTTGATTGGGATGAGGTTCGAACCTAAGACCTTTTTTTGTATTAAAATTAATGAGTAAGTTAACGGTGAACGTTGCAATTCTTAAAATTTTAACGGAATTAGTAATGGTGTGTGGGTATTTTAGGAAATTTTAGTGTAAAATTTAAATCTTATCAATCTTTTAATCAATCTGAGCCATTCATTTGATTAAAATCTGTGACCGCCATTTTTTCTACCCATTATAGGCCTAACTCTCTTGGGCTCTTATTAGTATAGTAGAAGTAGATATATATATATATATATATATATATATATATATATATATATATATATATATATATATATATATATATATATATATATATATATATATATATATTATTAGTATAGTATATATACTTCTACTATACTAATAAGAGCCCAAGAGAGTTAGGCCTATAATGGGTAGAAAAAATGGCGCGGTCAAATTTTTAAATCAAATGAATAGCTCAGATTGATTAGATTTTAATTTTTCCTTGAGATTTCCTAATTTATCATTAATGAATATGATTATCCGTTAACTTTTTCGTTAAATATTATCTTTTTCGTTAATTTCAGTTAGTTTACTGTTAACTTACTTATTGATTTGAATAGGAAAGGTTTTAGGTTCGAACCTCATCCCAATCAAAGTTGGCATAATTAGAACTATATTTTACTCTTATTAAATTAAATAATAATTTAGTAGCTACAACAAAAAATAATACATATGCATTTATATTTTAGAATTATATGTCTATAATGTCTTTAACTACTCTTTATTCAAAAAAAAAAAAATTATTCATTATCAATAAATTAAATAAGAGAAATTATTTCATTAGTTATATTGTCTTTATTTTTATCCAATATAAAAATTCTTTACATTCAAATTCATCAATTGATTATATTCGCTACATTGTCCCTACAATGTCTTTATTAAAAAAAATATTCATTATCAATAAATTAATTAAGAGAAATAGTTTTATTAGTTATATTGTCTCTATATTTCTCCAATGTAAAAATTCTTTACATTCCAATTCATTAATTGATTGTAGTGATTCATTATCAATAAATTAAAGAGTAACCAGGACTATGTGGTCTAATGGTATCCGGGTTGGACTTCCATTTGGAAGATTATGAGTTCAAGCCTCAGTGGAGGCGTTATTGGTTCTTTGTGTTTCAGTAGGTTGAGAAAGTATATGAACAGATACTACAATGTAATAGAGCCAGTAACTTTCAAAAAAAAAAAATTAAAGAGTAAATACTCAAAATGGTCCCTCGACTATAGCTAAATTCACAAATTGATCCTCGACTTTTAATTTTAACCAATTAAGTCCTTAGCTTTGCAATTTTAACACGATTTGGTCCTCTGTCTATTTGACCGTTTGTTGACTGTGGTTTTTTATGATATATATTTAATTTCATGGTCCATCGTCGATTTTTTAAGGTTCTGGTTGCATTTTCAGACTGCACTGTTACATTTGAATCCACTGCCGAAAGCAATCTGCCAAATCCTGTCGCCTTTCTTCATTCTCCCTTTGGATTCAATGTAGTTGAGTTCGTACCAGAGCGAAGAAGACGACGTGTTTCCGAATCGGTGCAGCATCATCCTGGAGGCCTCCACATGCTCCGACGAGAGCTGCAGGTTCTTTTAGAGATCGTCGATGACGGCGCGGCCGCCGGCGTTGATGCAGAAGTGTTCGAATGCCTGTTTGAAGTCGGTAATGTAGGGTTTCCATTTGGGATTGAAGATTTTCCGGTCGATTAGGGTGAAGAGGAAGAGGAGCTGCTCCGATGGCGGGAGAACGAGCGGGCCGATTGTGGTTATGTTGGATTTGAGGGCTTCGTCGACGATCACCATTAGGTCTTTTGAGAGGTTGATTCCAACTTTCCCTTGCGGATCTTCCTACTCGTAAATGCAGCGATAGGCTTTATCGGCGGTGCTCTTGTGCGTGCGGACCACGTGCATGAGCTGGTATTTGGCCCGACCTGAATCGCGCTTCTTGTTGGACACGAGAATCGCGACGCCACCCAGTAGACTCAGACATGGTTGTTTGAAGCATTGGACCTGATGAAGATTGCAAATTGGGTTGTAGCGCCGACAATGATGAATTATGAGAAGGTGTTTGGGCGGTGGATCGTGTCGTGGCAGTAGGTGAAGGCTACGCAGTGGAGTGTATCATGGCAGTAGATGAGGGTGGATGGACAGTGGCTTGTGGCTGGGAGATAGACTGTGTCACGACAGCGGATGAGAGCGGGCGACGATGAAATTACATATATATCCTTGAAGATCACGGTCAACAAACGGTCAAATAGACGGAGGACCAAATTGTGTTAAAATTGCAAAGTTAAGGACTTAATTGGTTAAAATTGAAAGTCGATGACCAATTTGTGAATTTAGCTATAGTTGAGGGACCATTTTGAGTATTTACTCTAAATTAAATAAGATAAATAATTTCATTAGTTATATTGTCTTTATTTTTATCCAATATAAAAATTCTTTACATTCAAATTCATGAATTGATTATATTCGCTACATTGTCCCTACAATGTCTTTATTAAAAAAAAATTCATTATCAATAAATTAATTAAGAGAAATAGTTTTATTAGTTATATTGTCTTTATATTTCTCCAATGTAAAAATTCTTTACATTCCAATTCATCAATTGATTATATTCACTACATTGTCTATTATCTTTTTTTGTACACTATTTTTTAATTAAATATCAAAGTTCTAATACAAAATAATGTTATATATTTATTTACCAAGTATTTTATTAATACCATAAAAAAATTAAAGAAAAATATAATTAATAAAGTCAATCATATTAACTACTTGAGGGATTTGTTAACAAACAGAGTATTCAAATCACACAACAAATTGAAGTGAGAAATATCTCGCAATGTCCTTCTTTAACAATTAGGAGTTAGCAGTTAGCGTTCGGATTATATTAACGAATTTGACAAGCGAATTATATCAATGGTTGGTAAAAATATATTTGAAAAAAATAAATGTTTAGATTAACATGTGAAATGACATAAGATAATAATAATAATAATAATAATAATAATAATAATAATAATAATTTTAAAAAATAAAAATATATAATTAAGCCAATCATATTCAAATCACACAACAAATTGAAGTGAGAAACTTCATCGCAATTTCCTTGTTTGGCAATCAGTAGTTAG